GACAAAGAATATAGTTTCTAAATCAGACACCTGAAGTTACCCATCTCCTCATGGGTGAAAGTCCACCCAGAAGGGATTGGCCCAAAGCAAGGCCTGAAAGCCTGCCACAAGTCTAAAGCACCCTCTGGCCAAGACCCATAGAAAGGGGTCAGAACTGGCCAGACAAGTGTGAGAGGAAAAAAGCAAGATCAAAATCAAGATAAACGCTGCCATAGTGAAACTCCTTTCGGGTCTCTCACCCACATCTGTTTCATCCAGTCCAATACCAAGAAGCAAGCACAGTTCTGTCACATGTCTCTCTGCTCCATGTGGCTTCCTTAGGCCTCCTTCTGGCTTTCCACCCTACATCCTTCCTCTTCCATCTCTATCCCTGCTCAGCTCCTCCCTCCTCCTGGGTGGGGCAAGGAACCTGGAACCTCCCCTTTTTCTGGGGACCACCCTGTTATAGTCTGACTGGGTCAACTTGGAAAGACCGGATTCTTTTACAGTGGCCCTCAATCTCCATGACTGCACAGGTCTGCACCCCAATCTGTGCCTCCAGATGTTTCACTTTTCTATATGGATTGTTTAACAACTATGTTTATCATTTCAGCTTCTACACTTCTGGTCCCTTTCTGGGACCCAGAAAAAGGGTATGAAAGAGCCAGACAGGTCTGAGAGGAAAGCAGGAAATCAAAATTAAGATGAAACTGCCACTGTTAACCTCCCGAAGGGTATCTCACCCACATCTGTTTCCACCAGTCCCAGACCAAGAAGCAAGAGCTGCTTCTTTGCATGACTCTGCTCCACGTGCCTCCTCCAGGTCTCCTTCTGTCCCTACAGGCTGCTTGCTTCCCTCTCAGTCTCCTTTCCAGCTTCTCCTCCCTGCCCAGCCCCGCCCTTCCTAGGGTGAGGGAGGGAAACTGGGACCTCCCTTTTCCCTTGGGACCACCCTGTTAAAACTTTATTGTGAAAGACAACTTGGGATAATTCAGGGCTAGCTTCACTACTAAATAGGCATTGAATGAACTAGCATGCTGTCAGTAAATATTTTTAAAAGAATTTTCAGGTCTTTTGTGGAAAAAAACAAAAATACAAAAAACCTCATAACACAAAGTTAAAGCCTAAAACAAAATACTTACATAGAGAAAAAAAAGAGAAAATTCTCCAGTATATATTTTCTGTTTCCTACAGTGAGCATTAGTTACTTTAATTAACAGTCTGGGGAAACTTTGAAACCTATGAATTCAGAAGAGAAGAGACCACACATAGAAGGCATTCAGTTCACCTTCATTGAAAGAAATGATTTGATTTAAAATGAAGTAAGAATCTTGTCATAGTAGAATAATCGAATCTTTAAGCTGGGAGGCCTCTTGCAGGTCTCTTGGCCCAGTAATCCACAGTAAACCAATCTTTAAGTTTAGCCAATTTATATTGGTATATTCATTATCTGTAACTACCTCTGGAGCCAGGCCAATTTGTGGTCTCCTGAAGTTCTTGCTTAACATTGCTTGTGGGCGGTATACTCTTTGAATTTCTTATCAACTTGCCGCAAAGAAAACTATCAATTCTTTAAATTTTTTGAGAATACTCATAAAAAAACAAAAAAACAAAACAAAACAAAAAACTGTAGAGTGTTAGTAATTTAAATATCAAGTTACTCTAAATTTGCAAACAATTAAAGAGAACCTTATTGCTGAGTATAGCCTGTAGAGGCGGATTAATGGTAGGATGATTAAGGGCTTGGTTCTGAAATCTGGCTGCCTGGAGCAAGTTACTGTCTGATGAGTTTCCTCTTATGTAAAATTAGATTTGAAACAGTACCTACCTATCAGGGGAGTGTATTTTTTGATTAACTGAGTTAATAACGCATGCATTATTAACCTAGAGTAAGGCACTTTTGTTACTGGATAGCAAGGAGAAAATGCAGTACTCTATTCATTCTGCTAAACACTAAATGCTAGGATATAACATAAAGGAGTCTGAACAAAATGGTAGAGAGAAAAAGCTGAACCATTAGGAATTTTAGGATATAGGGAAAGATTTTCTGTTTTCTTACCTATCCCAGAGGAGGTGATAGAGAGATTGGTAGATGCAGGGGGTAAAAAATCAAAAAGGAAAACAACAACAACAAAAACCCTTTAATTTTCTGGACCAAAAAAAATCAAGAAATTAGGGATCTCATAAGACAGGTATCTTTTAGATAATAACCCTAATCCATTCAAGCATCAGAAAAAAATTGACCCACAAGCCCATTTTCACCAGTAAAACTCTGCTGAAGTGTCTAGAGTTCTATTCTCTTGCCAAGATGTATCAGGGTGCTTCGAACTTCACCACCTCCATGAATCCATGAATGGTGTCAGAGAAGTTGATGGGGTGTTGGAAGTTTCCTTCTCTGAAGGTGAGGAGGTCAGGGTGTTCTTCACCTCACAGTGTCCTTAGTGTAAAGTTTGCCCACAGTTTCTCAGCAAGGAGGGTGTCACTTATGCTAAGTGGCATTCTGTAGTGTCACATTTATATGGCAGTAATGAGATACCCCTCACCCACACCTCTGGTATTGTTAGCTATCAGAATGAGGTAGTATCCCGGAACCCCCAAACCTGTCTGCTCTAATGGGTTCTGCTATTGGTTATACCAAGAGAAAACATGCTCTTAGTTCATGAGAACTTCAATAGAAAAGAACTTTCATACAATTAGTGTGTAATAGAGAGGCAATGAGGATGCACTAGAGAGAATAGAAAGAATATAGTTAAAAATAGTTTTCGCATGAAACACTGATGTGTTCTCTTTTCTCATGGGCAAATGTCCCATGTCAACTGGGTTGACCCAAAGTAGGACCCAGAAGCTTGTCACAAATCTAAGGTACCTTCTGGTGGGGACCCAGAAGAAAGGACAGAAGGGACCAGGCAGATCTGAAAGGAAAGGAAAAGAATCAAAATACAAGTCAAGATAAAGGCTGGGGCCTCCTTGATGGTGCAGGGGCGAAAGTCTCAGCACTATCAAGCTATCAGCATCCACTGCAGCAGGAGATTTTGATCCCTGGCCAACAAGTTGGCCTGCATGGCACAGCAGACCCCTTCTGTCTTGCCCCCTGCTCCCTTCAGCAGTGTATTTCAGTGGATCTGCCTGCTCTCCCCATTTTGGCTCTGGTGAATCCTCTCACCCCTGCCTGCACCTCTGGCACAGTTCTTGTAAGCAGAAATAAAGATAAACACTAAAAAAAGATAAAGGCTGCCATTGTCAACCTCTCCACAGGTCTTTCACCCATGTCTGTCTCTTTCAAGTGTCTCCTTCCATGCCCCTCAAGTCCTTGATAGAAGTCAAGGCCAAGAAGCAAGTGTGGCTTCTTTTTCTCAGTGCTCTTCTGCATGTCCCACTTGGGTTCTTTTCTTCAGCTTCTCCTCAGCTCAGCTCCACCCTGTCTTGGGTGGGTAGGACACCTAGATCCTCCCAGTTCTATGGTGGTCACTTTGGATTTATCACACTTGACAATTCAAAATAATTATATTAACCACTTGTAAGATAGTCATAGTTTAGAATTACTGACGTGTACAGGGTCATTTGGTCCTGATGAAGTGATTCTTCTTCCTGCTGCCTTCAGTATCTATTATGTTGTAATGTTACCAATGTATCTATAGCTACTTTTAATTCACTGCTTCATTTCACACTGGGCTTTGAGAGAAGACAATGATGGTGATTCTCAAATATTTGATAATAGGGCCTTTTTTTCTTGCTTTGATAATTTTTCTTGTAATTTTGCATTGTTCTAATATTTGGTAGTTTGACAATGGGACACTAGGACTATTATAATAATTATTTATTTTACTCCAAGAACTCCTGAAAAATGTGACAAATGCAAAGCTTTTTTTCTTTTGGAAAAATGAACTATATTTCTTTAAAATGTATTTCTGTTTATCTACATGGTAATTCAAGATCACTTAAGAGATGAAAGGCACTGAATTATAAAGGTTTTTAAAAAATCAATTAACATTTTACATGCATATCCACTCTTTATTCAAATTATGGAGAATTTCCAACATGCAGAAAAGAGCTTATATATTCTTTATGAAATTGAAAGCATCAAATTTAATTGAAAGAGAAATGTATATTTA